CCCCACAAACTAAAGGTTCAGCCAGACGCACTTAAAAAAAAAAAAGAGGTAAAGAGCTGTAGGATGTTTGTAAGTAAAACACAAGAATGCACAAGTCTAGGATTGTGAGAGCATTACTGTAAACACAGTAGTAGAGTCATCCTGTTAATATTATTAGTCTTATTATGTACAAGAAGCATATTATTATATACTATTCGTGTATCCATAGCTTTATGTACAAAATATAGTACTGTATCAGTGAGATAAAGCAAGTCTACGAAAGACTTGAAATGAAATTTAAAAATACATACTTAAAATAAAACAAAATATTTTCCAGTGCATCACAACAGCTCAAGAAAATGAAACAAAAATAGTGTGTAAAGATAGAAATATCACATAGGCATTGTCAGCATTTCATCATACTATAATATATAACATACAGGCGACCAACATAAAAGGAATGGGAAACAACAACAACAACATTAGAAAGGAAACCTTAGATTCATGTACGTCTTCATTACATCTGCGTGATCTAGTTTGTCGACAGTACCCTCGAATGTCTTCATTATAAATTATAATAATATATGTTTTAAAAACGAATGTCTTCATTATAAATGAGAATATATGTTTTAAAAACAAATGTTTTCGCCCTAAATTATATGTTTTAAAATGTGAAATCTGATTTCTGATGCTGTCGAAGGGCGCTACGGGAAACTGATAAAAGTGAATTTGAAATGGACGTAAAATTACATAATATTAGGTATATTTCTTTTACCAACTATCTAGTTTGCCGACTCGTTGATTACAAAGTGTCGAAAAATGTTTCCTAGGTCACAGCAACTGTAACGACGTGGCATGTATGATTGGCGTTCCAAATTTCACTCATCATCATGTGATGAAACGATTATTATTAAACGCCTTCCTGCTCACGAACAGCATAGCCCTAAGTGTAAACCACACGTCATATTCACTTCAAGTGCTCACTCTAATCTGTGTTCACACATGTCGTGTATTTATATGTCCATACTTGTGTTTATGTGCTGTTTTATACACGCATTTATGAGTTCAGACATGTTGTTTATGTATACATAACGCGAACGTTGTATAGATCACATTAACTGTTATGTACATTAAACAAAAATTGTAGGCTACACAAAAAAAAAAGAAAACAAAACATCGCAAGTGGCCTTAAAAGTATTGAGCATAACGGACTTGCAAAATGTACATTAATCTAGCTCTCATTTCACATTTCAGGCACAAAACATCCAGATAAAAATGCAATGAAAAGTAGCCTAAAGAAGAAAAAAAAAAGTTTCATGAGAAGGGATACTGTGATGGAGCAGCATAGGGATGTCCGAAAAAAAATCGATACGAAAATTAAGGTTATGGAATCCGCAGGATTATGTAAAAAGCATACTGACTGGTCATGACACACTCGCGCGCGCGCACACACACATACACACACACACACACACACATACACACACACACACACACACACACACACACACACACACTTTCTGTCTGTCCGTCTGTCTATCACAAACACACATGCGTGCACGCATACATCTACACATATCTACACGCTTACACGAATTCAGACACGACCCCCCCCTTCCCCGACCTCTTTCTTTTTAATCCACATAATTATATTATTCTTTCTTTCGAAGATCCCTCTTTCTCCCAAATCATGACGCCTCAGTGACACAACTACACACCTTTCGACACGTCATTTTAATTCCTTCACGATAATGACACCTTCTGAAGTCTCTGAAACTATAAGAAAGTTTGGCATCTTCAGCAAAGTAAAAACAAATGCAATATAACTCAATTTGCAACACACTGCACGGCCAGATCATCAACAAAAAATATGTCAAAGTATGACCTATTTAGCAGGCCCATCAATGGTGTTATGCTGTAACCGTGTAACTGGAATAACGTTCTTAGGTAAAAAAAAAAAATTCTTAAACTATAATTGGCAAGATCGATCTGTATCTCCTCAGTAAAAACCAGGAATCAATATGAAATGGAAATAGTGTAAAAAGTACTGAGAACGAATGTTGATGTCTTAATTTCAGTTAACACTTATTTCAGAGAGTTTTTTGTTTGTTTTTTTGTTCGTTTTGTTGATGATTTTTTGTTACCCATTGAAATATTTTCGAGAGAGCTGTTGCATAATTTTACATGATACCATCGATATGTCCTACGCTTGACTCGAGGAAGAAAGATAAAACTAAAATTAAACTTGAGTGGCCTGCGAATAATCATGTAAAGTGGTCTCCTCACAGAGTGACCAATCAACACACGCTAAAATATACATGTACAGCTAGCGTAATTCAAGTAAGATATGAAGTCATCGGAGTAAAAAGAAGCTCATTATGAATAGATCACACTACACAAAGATTGGTCGTAAACTCAACATATTACATAGCTATTTTGTTCGCAGCTCCACGAAAACTCTCAAGACAATTAACTGACAACAAAACGAAATACAGCTGCAGCTTCAGAAATAACCGAACATTCACACCTTGTGAAATCGGCTTTATTAATTAAGCCCAAATCTGCAGGACAGCCCGCATTTCTTCGGTTAAGCCGGGTTTTCGGTTTAGAGGGGTTACTCAATTGCAAATAGAAGAAAAACGTATTGGGGGTTTTCTTTTCTTTCAGTTTAACTTCTCTGTTTTCGGATCACCTATTTTATGTTTGGTAAAGTGGCTCCGTTGTGTTCGAAAACTGACCTATCGCAGATATATTCATTTTATGAGATGAACAATGCAAACAACATTTCTAATCCTCTGCCCCTTTTCTCTGCTTGCTGAGAGTAGGTATTTTAATATTAGCCATAAGGAGGGAATATGATTTATAGCTACTTAACTGAGTGGGTCAAGTTCAGATAAAGTAACGTTTAATTTAATGTTAGGAGTTTCTCCACTTCAAACACGTTATTAGGTAGGCTAATCAACACATATCGCACAACCAAGACACACATTATGTATTTTGCGTTACATTTTTTCAATGTCCACTGGAGTAGATGAGTTTTTACGGGGTATTTGCAAGGTTGAGTGAACTAAAGCTTCTGCAGAAACCATAAGTGTTTGTGTGTGTGTGTGT